CCTTCAATCATGATGTTTTCTGATAAGTTCAAGAATGTTGTAAATCACACAACCCCAGGAAATGAGGAAGCTTGGGGCCTGTTAAATCTGTGCAAGGTAGGGAAGTGGGTGGCTGAGTAATCCATGACATTTATATTTGTTTGAACTTTCAGTTTCATGATATAGAAGTGGCTTCAAACACTTACCCCCTGTAGACCTAACCCTATGGCTTTAAACACTTACCCCCTGTAGACCTAACCCTATGGCTTTAAACACTTACCCCCTGTAGACCTAAACCTATGGCTAAAAACACTTACCCCCTGTAGACCTAACCCTATGGCTTTAAACACTTACCCCCTGTAGACCTAACCCTATGGCTTTAAACACTTACCCCCTGTAGACGTAACCCTATGGCTTTAAACACTTACCCCCTGTAGACGTAACCCTATGGCTTTTAAACACTTACCCCCTGTAGACCTAACCCTATGGCTTCAAACACTTACCCCCTGTAGACCTAACCCTCTGGCTTCAAACACTTACCCCCCTGTAGACCTAACCCTATGGCTTTAAACACTTACCCCCTGTAGACCTAACCCTATGGCTTTAAACACTTACCCCCTGTAGACCTAACCCTATGGCTTTAAACACTTACCCCCTGTAGACCTAACCCTATGGCTTTAAACACTTACCCCCTGTAGACCTAAGCCTATGGCTTCAAACACTTACCCCCGTAGACCTAACCCTATGGATTTAAACACCTACCCCCTGTAGGCGTCACCCTATGGCTTCAAACACTTACCCCCTGTAGACCTAACCCTATGGCTTTAAACACTTACCCCCTGTAGACCTAAGCCTATGGCTTCAAACACTTACCCCCTGTAGACCTAACCCTATGGATTTAAACACTTACCCCCTGTAGGCGTAACCCTATGGCTTCAAACACTTACCCCCTGTAGACCTAATCCTATGGCTTTAAACACTTACCCCCTGTAGACCTAACCCTATGGCTTCAAACACTTACCCCCTGTAGACGTAACCCTCTGGCTTCAAACACTTACCCCCTGTAGACCTAACCCTATGGCTTCAAACACTTACCCCCTGTAGACGTAACCATATGGCTTTAAACACTTACCCCCTGTAGACCTAACCCTATGGCTTTAAACACTTACCCCCTGTAGACCTAACCCTATGGCTTTAAACACTTACTCCTTGTAGACCTAACCCTATGGCTTCAAACACTTACCCCCTGTAGACGTAACCCTATGGCTTCAAACACTTACCCCCTGTAGACCTAACCCTATGGCTTTAAACACTTACCCCCTGTAAACCTAACCCTATGGCTTTAAACACTTACCCCCTGTAGACCTAACCCTATGGCTAAAAACACTTACCCCCTGTAGACCTAACCCTATGGCTTTAAACACTTACCCCCTGTAGACCTAACCCTATGGCTTTAAACACTTACCCCCTGTAGACGTAACCCTATGGCTTTAAACACTTACCCCCTGTAGACCTAACCCTATGGCTTTAAACACTTACCCCCTGTAGACCTAACCCTATGGCTTTAAACACTTACCCCCTGTAGACCTAACCCTATGGCTTCAAACACTTACCCCCTGTAGACCTAACCCTATGGCTTCAAACACTTACCCCCTGTAGACCTAACCCTCTGGCTTCAAACACTTACCCCCTGTAGACCTAACCCTATGGCTTTAAACACTTACCCCCTGTAGACCTAACCCTATGGCTTTAAACACTTACCCCCTGTAGACCTAACCCTATGGCTTCAAACACTTACCCCCTGACTGTAGACGTAACCCTCTGGCTTCAAACACTTACCCCCTGTAGACCTAACCCTATGGCTTCAAACACTTACCCCCTGTAGACCTAACCCTCTGGCTTCAAACAGTTACCCCCTGTAGACCTAACCCTATGGCTTTAAACACTTACCCCCTGTAGACCTAACCCTATGGCTTCAAACACTTACCCCCTGTAGACGTAACCCTATGGCTTTAAACACTTACCCCCTGTAGACCTAACCCTATGGCTTCAAACACTTACCCCCTGACTGTAGACGTAACCCTCTGGCTTCAAACACTTACCCCCTGTAGACCTAACCCTATGGCTTTAAACACTTACCCCCTGTAGACCTAACCCTATGGCTTTAAACACTTACCCCCTGTAGGCGTAACCCTATGGCTTTAAACACTTACCCCCTGTAGGCGTAACCCTATGGCTTTAAACACTTACCCCCTGTAGACCTAACCCTATGGCTTCAAACACTTACCCCCTCTAGACCTAACCCTATGGCTTTAAACACTTACCCCCTGTAGACCTAACCCTATGGCTTCAAACACTTACCCCCTGTAGACCTAACCCTATGGCTTTTGATTGATTGATTGATTGATTGATTGATTGAAAAGTTTATTAACAGCTTGTATATTGGGTACAGTACAGTACAGCTCAAAACATACAATTGTTAAGGGGATGCAGACCAGAGAAAGACTTTCGTCTTGTTTACATCAGGGTCCCCCATTTCCAATTCATCATGTCATTTAAGACTTATAAGACATATTTGACATACAGATGGCTTATTTACAATTTACATACAGGTGGTTTTTTTACATACAGATTGCTTGTTTACAATTTTCATTTTAGATTTCGTTCTAATACATCCTAACCGGACATTTAAGACATACCAAGTCTACAGATATACAGTTAGTAACAGAGTCTAAAATGCGAGTATATACATAGATGGGGGGGGGGGGAAGCTGTCCATTGAACGACAGGTTGAGATTTGTACCATTACCGGGGCCAGTTTTGCAATGCTCTCCCCCGAAGGTGCTCTTTAAGAGAGGTTTTGAAGGTAAGTATAGTTTTACTTTCCTTTACAGTTGTGGGAAGAGCGTTCCACCTTGATGTGGCATAATTGCGAAACGTGTATTCCCCCTTTTTTGTGCCAAATCTGGGTTTCACATGATTTGTGGAGCTCCCTCTGGTGTTATGATCATGGTATTCCTTGACCTTTGGGAAGAATTTTGACATGTACATGGGTACCATAGAGTTGTAGTGGATCTTGTAGACCAGGCCCATTGCAAGTAGCTGTACTCTGTCGTCTACTCTAAGCCATCCTAGGTTGTCAAAGTGGGCAGAGGTGAGGTGGGTTCTAGATGAAAGGTCAAGCAGTAGTCTGACCAGTTTATTTTGCGATGCTTGAAGTTTTATTTTTAGCGCCTTGGAGGTGCTATGGTACCATGACGTGCAAGCATAGTCATAGTACCCTTGAATGAGTGCTCCTGCCAGAGTTTTCAGGGTGTTTTTGTTTACCAGAGAGGAGATCCGGTATAGGAATCTAGTTCTTTGATTGACTTTTTTTATTACATTGGATGCCATTTTGTCACAGGAGAGGTTTGCCTCAAGAATAGATCCTAGGTATGTAATTTACTTCTTACTTGTGACAATAATGTCGCCCACTGCAACTGAGAAGTCGTCGGATTTGCTGAGATTATGTTTCGAACCGAAGAGAATGGACTCTGTTTTACCCAGGTGTAATGATAATTTATTATCGGCGAGCCAGGTGCAGATTCTTTAAACACTTACCCCCTGTAGACCTAACCCTATGGCTTCAAACACTTACCCCCTGTAGACCTAACCCTATGGCTTCAAACACTTACCCCCTGTAGACCTAACCCTATGGCTTTAAACACTTACCCCCTGTAGACCTAACCCTATGGCTTTAAACACTTACCCCCTGTAGACCTAACCCTATGGCTTCAAACACTTACCCCCTGTAGACCTAACCCTATGGCTTTAAACACTTACCCCCTGTAGACCTAACCCTATGGCTTTAAACACTTACCCCCTGTAGACCTAACCCTATGGCTTTAAACACTTACCCCCTGTAGGCGTAACCCTATAACGGAATTCCAGCACAGATTCTTTACCATGAATTGCATTGCAGTGAAAAGGCTAAGATCGTTTTATATCCACCTAAAATACAAATAAATACTATATTTTCAACTTGAGAGTCATCATAGTTAATCAAATCATATTATTTTTGATTAACATGATCACATTGTTTAATTTATTGACAACAGAAGTACATTTATACATACAGAGTTTTGTTGAAAACTGTGAGAGGTCAGATTATATTGAATTAAATATTGGAATCGCCAGCAGGAGACATGGATTAGGATATTTTAGGAAGGTTTTTATTGATTTCTTTAAAGTTTGTTACCATAGTTGGGATTCATTGTTAATGTTTACTACAGCTACAAATCTCAGCTGGTCCGTACTCAGTATATTGATTTACAGTGAAGCTTTTCATCAAGGCAATATCACAACTCAGCTGGACCGGGGAACATGAATGTGTTGCGTTGATGTAAGTGCATAGTTTCAGTCTCTGCTCGAGCTCGGGCCACCATTTCAAAATGGTGAAAATTAAGTTCCATTCACTACCATGTTTAGGAGTGTTGACAAAAATATTGCAGAGACAAATATCTCAAAACTCTGCTTGGAATGATACCACTGGGTTTAAATTGTTTCAAATGTTCATAATCAAACTGATTTTTGTTTTTAGGGAAACAAGTTACAGCCTTGACAGATCAAAGTGTATTGTGGTTCTTTAACCCCGTCAACCCTGCTGCTGCTACTTCCTCCTGACTGTGCACTTAGCAGCTCACTTTGGTTCTGTTTTTTTCAGTTCCACATTCTTAAACAGCAAAACCCAACACTCACAGACAGATGTGTCATTTCAAAAATACTTTTTATTCAAACATTTGTACAGCACCACGGGCACTATGTACTGTATGCAATGCCAATAAATGTTATTGACAAACAGCAGATCAAATCGGTTTCAATAAATAATGCAATAAATCATATATAACATACAGCACGAATACTGTTGTAAATTAACACATAAACAAATAAATAAATACATAAATAGAATAATAAAGATAATAATAATAAATAAATTAATAAATATTGTTATGTTAAATAAATACAGTTAAAATCTTCTTCTGTCAGCTTGTTGTGACACAATAAATATGCAACAGAGCATTGCAGTACAGCAAAAGGTACTGGCACTAAGACAGGTACATAGTACATAACATGACAGCCCCATAGATATCTATGGTGCAACATTACAGCTATTGTGTTTACTGCTACAGTAACACAGCTCGGTTTTCTGACAAAGGACTTGCTAACGGTTTGGAAGTAAAGTATTTTCTAAAAGTCTGTTTAGTGCAGTGTAGACCTTTGCACATTGAACAGTGGACTTGGATTGAGGTGAGGCAGTGGGCTCAGCCTCATAGTGGAGCCCCCATCAAGGCCAGAGTCTAGAGCATACGTTCCCTAGCTGCCCTCAGGCCACACCTCACAATTGAAACATTCCGAAGAAAGTGTCCCCGTTTCCATCCTCCAGATCGGGCAAAGTCTTCTCTTCCGTCAACGTCCTAAGTCGGTCCCCTTTCCTGAGGTTGAACACAGCCCCCACGTTCACAGTGGAGTACCACCGCCCCTCCTCATCCGGATCACTGCTGGGTTTCATTTGGCAGGCGGTGCGGAGAGAGTGCAGGATGGTCTGGTAGGAATCCTCGTCGTCTTTCCCAAAAGTGTCTGACCAGCGCTGCACGATGTGACTCAGGTGGACCAGGGGCTGTGGGAGGCCTTCTTCAGCATCGCTGCTGAGGCAGTTGACGTGGAAAGACGCTTGGCTGTATACGAAGTAGAGGCCATGTCGAGGAATCACAATTTCATTTCTTTTGAGTTTCAGACCTCCTTGAGAGTGGGTCTGGTCACCATCGTCCTTCCATTCAATGGAGTTCATCCTGGAAGAGTTGTGATGTCCTAATGAAGTATGAAGAGATTGTGATGGATACGTCAAAGGTTTGAAATATCTTACAACAAGGACACAGGATCAAAAATAATGCATTAGAAATGTTTCTTTGAGAAAACTCAGGACACTTAATAACCCTTATTTTTATTAATTATATTAAGTCACATGAAAACCTTGTTTTGCTCGTGAGCCCTACTACATACTGTCCGAAAAAACAAGACTGAGAGTTTGTGACTCTGCAGACCGTTTACATGCATAAAAACCTTCATAACACACAAGGGGACGGGTAATAACCGGAAAAGCATGACATGGGACCTTTAAAGAACCTTCCTGAAAAAGGCCATTCAACTTCAAGAAACCCAATAACTTTCCCATATCCCCCAAAAGCTTCTCAAAGTTCTCAAGAACCTTCTGTATAAGTTCTAGAGTTTGATCCAGATGCCCTAGAACTTCCTTTAGTACCACAAATTCTAACCCTCGTGTATCAAAGGCCAATGGTGATACAACTACTTGACTAAGAAAACCAAAAGTAAAAATTCTACACAAAGATGATTATTTTGAAAAGGATTCATATAAATTCAAAAACATTTACCGACTAAATGAATGGCCGCTTTCTCGTTTGGAAGTTGCCTCAATGCATGGCGGAGATCTGGAAAAAGGAAAAGACAGAGGTTTAGAAACGTTTTACTTTCAGAATAAGGGTCTCAACAAGATTCAACTGTCCTTTAGTTTAACCAGCAGCTAAAGAAAAACTATGAGAGCCGCTTATTTCAGTTGTTATGTTAACAATTTTCATGTAAATAATGGAATAAAATACATATAGAATAGATTAAAATATAAACATTAAATATATGCATAACAACATGAAAAAAATATATATCAATAGTATCTAACAAATATACAATAAAAAAAATGCTGAATAAATGTGAGTACTAGATAGTATCACAGACCAATCTACTAGAAAAACAGAAGCATATATTTGCTATCTAGTATGCTGCTATCTATGACATCTTCTAGTATCGAACTTTTGAGAGAATTAAGGGAACTCACCAAAAGTGTTTTCATCTTGTCCTGGGCCCTGGATAGAGAGATAGAGAGACTGTTAGGGAACTGTTGGGTGACGGTGAGTTTCTGTCAGAGACATCCTGCACTTCATTAAATCAGAAGTTAATATAATCCATGTGCACCCACCTTGGACTGCCTGTTGAAGAGCAGCACGGCGGCGGCAGTTGAAGCGAGGCAGAGTGTGAACACCATCAGGGCCGTGGTGAGCTTCGACCACGGCTTCACCGATTGGCTCCTGGATCCTGGTTCTACTGTTGCTTCCAGCATTACTTTGCATTCACCTTCCATTGTTGTAAAGCTATTCAAGTCAAACTGAGCTCTTAGAAACCTTATCGAGAGTGTTCTTGCTTTCTACTGTTGCTCTGGCCCGTTGGCTCCTTTTAAAGGGCTACAGGGAAACTCCAGTGATGTCACAGTTTGTGAGTGGAGATTTCTGAATGAGGAAGAGAGAGCTAGGGAAGATTTAACACACTCCTACACACAAAGCATCAATATGACTGCTTTATCCCATTAGCACAGAAACACTAATACCTGTAGATACCTCTTTCACATCTCAGTGCACACACACTCACGTGTCAACAGATACTCACACACAGACAGGGATACACACATATTAAGCCATGCTCTCAAGTACACTAATTGTCTGGCAGAACACTTGTTATGCCAGACAATTACAAACACTACAGAAAAACATGAACATCATCTACAAAGACTACTGTATTACATTTAAAATGTACACGTACGCCGATCATACCACATCTGATGCAGAGTGTTTACGCATGTTGTGGTGTGCTGGTCATCTCTATGTGGGTCAGATATGGAAACGGTGTTGAGGTGCAGGGTAAAGCCAAAGACACATCATTCTGTTATTCATCAAGATATCTGCGGTTTGTGTCAGAATTGCCAAAAATGGGTCGGAATATTAATAAAGGATATTGCACTAGCAGGATGTACACAACTTTAACTGACGTGTCATTGTGAATATCTAAGTTGCATTGTGTCACTTCCCTTTTGTTTAAATATAGACATGGTTGTAATACAACTTTTAATAGTCATGGGTTCATCAAAAAACAAATACAATGTTAAAGAAGGAACATGTATTACTCTGCCCTTCCCATATCAAGTTTTGGATACATTGGTACATTTTATTGATATTAAAGAACTGTATATAGCTGACAAAAACTGTGATTGCAGAATCTTTTTCCCCCTAAATGCTCACATTGTAGCTATACTGGAGTTGTAGATCTTTAAAATGTCAGATTCTTTCTGAGCACTTTAAAAACGACTTTTCCATTATGCCATAACAAGAGATGTTAGTATTTACAGTACCATGTGTATTCAGGGAACTGACTGGCATGAAGGTCCTTGTGGGACAATACTATGATGATGCTGGAAAAATAGATTTGTTATTATCTGTAATTATCGTCCAGCCAATCACAGTTTGCTTTTTGAGTCTTCGCTCCTTGACCCCATACTATGAGGAGTCTGGCGTTGTATCAAAGGGAGTATACATTTGGTCAGGTTAACCTAAATCCCCTCTTACTCTTCGGCATTAGCCAACTTTTTGTGGTTAATATTAGTATTCTTTCCCCTTCCATATAAATGGAGAGAATATATGTGTGTTTAATATATGTGTGTGTATTTCTTTAAAACAATATTGCTTTATAACTTTTTTTCAACAAATGAACCCTTTCCCCGCAGAGATAGAGATATAGTCCATGTGAAAAAAAGAAATACAGCACACTGTCAAAAATGATATCCCTGACCCTAACCCTAATATAAAAGGAATATATTTATATAAAAAAAATACCTTTTATAAAGCTATAGGCACATTTATTTTGAAGTTGACAGAGGACTTAAGATCACCTGAAAGAATCAGTCAGTAACACCCAATCCCCTCTCAGCTGGAGCGGTCAGATTGAGATAATAACTGCAGGTTAGAAATTGTGGAAGTGTAGGGTTAGGGTCTGTAGAGAGTTAGGGTTAGGATTAGCTCGAGCAAAACTATTAGACCCAGACATCTGCTCCACAATATCCCCTCAGTGTGAAGTTGGATTGACTTCTTAAACCATGCAAATACACCCCCAAAGGTATCGAATCAAGTGTGTATCTCTTTTTGGTTTCAAATGGATCAAAAATGGTAATCTGTTGGCAGAAATTCCAGATTTGGAGCACCGCCAGTAGTCTAATCAGTAGCTCCCTGGCCCTGGGCCTATCTGTCCACATGTTTCATTGAAAGCTGTTTTTTCCAAGCCAGGAGCACTCATGGGAAAGATAATGCCAGAAGAAAATGTGTTTCAATTTCATTCGTCACAGTGTATGAAGATAAAGTTGCGCAAGATAGCAGTATTCGTGTCTTTCGTGAGTGTATGTGCTTGTATCACAAGCTTCATATCGACCATGACCACGGTATGAGACTGATTGAGATCACTGATGGTAGACCAGATAAGACGAAGCTGTGTCATTCTAAATATATCTGAAACTGACTACAGACAGACAGAACTAATGTCTCATAATACCACATTGCATAGGGAAACTCTGATAACTACAGCAAGGTCAATAGGGCACAATTGTACACGTTTATTTTATATTTCAATGTTAGCCTTTGTTTCTAAAAATAAGCTAGACTTTGCAGTTTGTTTAAAACCTCTTTGATCACGTGACTTGTATTTATTGCAAAGTCTCAATTACTGTCAATGTTATTATTACTGACAGGAATAACCCAACAACAAGGGTATGGGGGGGCCACAGCTTAATTCTTGGCCCATGGCCCCCAATTGGGATATATTTTCCAATTATGGAAAGATAAAGTCACCGCGTGATAGAAAGAAACCTGACAGATTAGTCGATTTATGTTGTGTCGTAACGTAGATAAAATGTATCATGAAACATTCTTATAATCAACTATCAATGAGGGCATTCTTAATGCCCTCATTGACTACATGCATTTACTACATGCATAAATGTGTTGGTTCCATCATTTTAAATGAAGTAGCGCAAAGTAACTCCATGCTGGTTATTTCAATACATTTCTGTCACTATATAATTTTACTCCACCACATTTTAGAAACGAACGTTGTACTTTTTCACTCCCATACTGTACGAAACCCTTTTCGAACCCAATCCATCTTGCAGCAACTCACAGTGCGTCCCAATACTGTTGCCTACTTTGATGGCATCATTATCCACAGTGAGACATGGGGACAAGGTGGGGGCCGTGCTCGAGTCCCTGAGGAGGGTGGGACTCACAGCCAACTTGAAGAAGTGTGCAATTGGGCAGAGGGAGGTACAGTATCTGGGGTATCACTTGAGAAAAGAGCAAGTGGGGCTCCAGGTAAAGTAGTAAAGTAATACTCTCTCCAGTGCAGGTTAGCTCTGAGTGTTAGCGATGCTTGCTAATGTAAACAAAGACCATATTACGGCCAAAACACGTCGTGCATTGTTTCTGATACAGCAACGTTTCTGATAGTGCTGTGGGTGTAAAGCCCACATCTCAGTAATGTCGTCATGACCGCAGCAAATCTGGATCAGCTCCGTTGACCTCCCCCGTTTTTAGAGATGTGGGTATGGAGGAAAAGAGAGAGGGTTTTATTTTCTGATACTTTGTGAGTCTCCTGTCACTCCGGTGACACATATTATAAAGGACATAAAAAAGTGCATTTTGCATAAAAGGTAACCTTTTAGAAGGTTAAACAACTGTGGGGAGCCACTACTCTTCACCCTTAATGTTTCTCTCTCTTTTGTTTTGCATACCAATGCCTTGAACAGGCTCCGTGTTTTCCCAGGAATTCAAGGTAGTCAGCCACCCTCTACTGTAAATCATCAGTAAGCTGGCTCAGCGAAAAGTTGCAAAGAGTCACTAGTAATATGTTGGGGGGTCAGCGCCCTGGGTTACTACCTCCTGTGGTGGCCTTTTACCCTCTGGTGGAACCACGCCCTGCTTCATTGCCCCCCCCCGCTGCATAAAGGATGCCAATACCCTGATCACTCATTGGTATCTGAGGGGTGTCAGCTTGGGGCCCATGAGATCCCGTGGGCCCCCAGTGGCTTGTCGAAATGAGAGAGAGAGAGGAGTCCAGACAGCTAATCAGAATCAAGGCATATGTCAGATAATAAAGGCGTGATGTTAACCTGGTTCTGGTCTCAGTGGGCTGGGTCCTCAGCAGGACGTATTTGGCCATGGAACGACCCCCCAGAAGCTGGGGGCTTGTGTTGTGTTCTATTTTTGTTTGACTTTTCGAGTTGAAGCCACAGGCTTTTTGGGGAAATGAAACCTTTACTTTAAACTTTTCTCTTCTCCTTCTGTCATTTCTAACTTGAGTTTCAGCAAGAAGATATATTAGTCTGTTTAACTGTAATCTTATATTTTTCTTTACTCCAATAACTGTATTCTCACCCAACCTGAGGGAAAAGCAGCTTCACATCTAATCGAACAAAGAAATCCTTAGAAATAGCCACTCATACACACTAGCTAGAGTATTTTTCACATTTACTGATGGTAAAATAAAGAAAGGGGAAACTTCTAGCTAGAGAGAATTACTTTTCCAACGAGGGAAGGAAGTGAGAAAGAGAATGTTCCCTCCTCTTTATTTGGTCTACATCCCACTTTCATTTTCATAAACTTAAGTTTTGCATTTTTGTATTTAAAAGAATCCCCACTGTGGCAGAACATCACTCTTGATTCTGTTTCTGTTTCTAAATCTATCACAAGAGACAAATTCCCTTTATCTATAAAAAACGTGATACTCTCCCCAAAGCCACAAAGAAAAACACAGAGTCTTTTTGTAGATTGGCTCATCGCTCAGCTTCCTCTTTACAAGATGAGAGCTCAGATCTCTATATCTCTCGCATATCTGTGTCCTTGGGCAAGACACTTCACCTGAACTTGCTCCTGTGGGTATTGTCCACAGTACCTGACCATATGATATGTGTAATGTGTAATGTGTATTTGTAAAGCGCTTTGAGCATCTGGAAAAGCGCTATAATAAATGTAAGGAATTATTAGGAATTATTATCTTTATTCTTTTGTTCAAATACAACACAGAACGCAACAGCTCAGACATGACATGACAAGTAAGTTGCATAGGTAGGAGTAAGAAATGAATCTTACTACGATCCTCAACCTCTACCATGCTGTACCTGTGGGAGAAAGGCAACGACATACAGAAATTGAAATGACAATAATTATTCAAAATGAATAAAAAATACAGATGAATGTTTAAAACGGTAACAAGTTGACAGGAAAAAATAAGTACATAGAAGCGAAAGGCTGAAGGATGAAACCCTCGCAGTATGGAAGATGACAGTTTGGGTCCAATATAGTCCAAGT